GGACTCACGGCCTCTGGTGGGATGTTCAAGAGATGAAATATTACATCAGAAATAATGGTCGCGGACGCTCCAGAATCGACCAAAATCCGCACGTCCACCCCTTGTATCGACCCAGGTACGGTGGACGAACTGGTAGCGGCCGCGACAACCCGCCGAGCCAGCTTACGCCACTGCGTTACCGAGCGACAAGGCGCAGCCGATGGCCTCCCGTTATTAACAACACCCGGATCGCATGACAACGGTGATGAATGAGGTGTCAAGCCTTGCCGGGTGTCTGGTGCGCACCGACTTGCCTGTGCTGGCGAATCCTTTTCTGGAGCGGCCGCAGTCGAGGCCTCCTGCTGGGGCGGACCCGGAACGCGGGCCCAGCAGTCCCGAGCGTAATGGCCTTTACGGCCGCAGCGGAAACAGTCAATGTCGTTACGGCGCGCTGCAGACGCCCCGTCCCGACGCGGCCGTGTCGGCGGCGCAGCCCGTGGCCCCGGCCCCCCTCGGCCCGTCCACGGAGTCGCGGCAGCCGACAGCTCCTGCGGGCCCCTGTCGTCTGGCACAAAAACTGCCTTTTTGGGGTCCCAACCCAAGGCTCCCTCTTCGATGTTAGGCCCCCCCGTCCACGCCGTAACCTGCTTCCACCGGCGCAGGTTGAACTGGGCATCTAGACATCTGGCCGCAGCCCGGGATGTGAGCTTCTCATGCCCACACACCGGCATAGGAATGCCGAGATCCCGGGACAGCTCCAGCATCTTTCCCAGGATGAGAGGTTCCAGCAGGTCAGGCTCCGTCTCCGGGTATGCAGCCATAGCCAGTTCCAGCACCGCGCCCCTATACGCCACCGGAGACTCCTCGGGTGCGCGCTGTCGTTGCACAAACCGGCGAAGAGCATCGTCCGGTGGCTCGTAAGCGTCAGCCATTTCGGTGAAAACTCCTCGCAACGTTTTCTTCTTTGCGGCTTTTATCGAGCGAAAGCATCTAACAGACTCATCATCGAGAAGAGTCGGAAGAACTTCTAATGCCTCAGCGTCAGTCCACCTCGCCGTGCGTACCGCTGCCAAAAATCTGCAGGCGAACGCGCTCCAATCTCCCCCGATGGAGAATTCTTTAACAGTTGGCAAGTGACGACTGCGACCTCTCGGCGCGCTCCCTCCGGCCGCTGACTCATCGGGTGGCAGATTCAACATGGCGTCCCAACGTGGTGTCGACAAGATGGTGGCCTTACGCCGAGAAGGGCCCAAAATGGCGGCTTCCCGCCTTTCCTCGTGCGCCACGCCCAAGAAGGCGTCCTCACGCCGCGTGGCTGATGGCGGCGACAGCGAAGACAACCCGGGCTCCTGCGGACCACCAACATCTCCTCCAGACGCCGTTCTCGGCGTGACGAGCTCACACAACTGTGCAAGTACGTTCTTGAGAGTTTCAAGTTGCTCAGCCATCTGACTCCATCTTAAATCCACGTCCTTTGGTGCAGACGGGTCCGCCGACGCGACGACCTCTTGGACCCCCGGACCAGCACTCGTCCCAGCACGGATCTCCTCGTCTGTCGGAGTCAGGTCCACCGTAGGAGGAAGGTCTTCGTCGTCGGAAGAAGAAGCCGATGCCGGAGACGGAATATTATTTTTTCTCAGTTGTTTAGCCATGCCGTTACACTTCCAACACCAGTGTAATAAAAGACTCTGACGCTTCTCTCTGTCCTGTGTCCTTTATTTGGGTTCGGTCTCTTTTCCCTCACGGCACTCCCCCTTACTCTTTGCTCTGCAGCCCTAGGCTGCTATCGCTCACGTAGCCCACTTCACAGCACTCCCCTATATACCCTTCGCTCTGCAGCCCCCAGGCTGCTGTCGCTCGCGTAGCCCACTCCCTCCTTGCAGACCCGCTGCTGTCTCCTCACGTAGCCCACTTCACAGCACTCCCCTATATACCCTTCACTCTGCAGCCCCCAGGCTGCTGTCGCTCGCGTAGCCCACTCCCTCCTTGCAGACCCGCTGCTGTCTCGTCGTGCAGACTCCCGCTGCCCAACTCCACCCTTGCAGACCCGCTGCTCTCTCTGCAGCCTCCTCGCTGCTCCTCCAGCCCTGGGGTCGGTCACCGCTGGCCGACGGTGCCGATCCTCGAGGTCTGTGTGTGTGGCGATCTCGCCATTCTCTCTCTCTCCCCCACTCCGCCCTGCGTGGCCTTACACTTTCCCCAGTCTCCGATCACCCCCTACTGCTTCCGGTTTCTCCCCTTATAACCCTGAACCCTGTCCCTCACGTGACGTAACTCCTCCCCCCATGACGTCACTTCCGGAAGGTCGTTTACGCCCGCATTACACATGTAACCTGTGTCTCTCCTCCGCAGCGAGCGTTCGAACATTCCTCGTGACCCACTCGCAGCGGCTCTTTGCTCGTTTCTGGGGGGACCCCGAGGGTAAGGTTTCAGTCTCCTGTTTCTGCCAATTGAACCCATGAGCCCCTGTCTGTTCCTATCGACGAGCTGTACACGATGCGCTAATCAATGTTTCAAAGTTTTGTTTATTCTGCGTTTGGACGACATGACAAGAGAATGATCCGCGCCAGGTGGGGTCGCGGCGTTTATGTGCGTGGTGGGATGGAGTCGCAAAAAAAATGATTAATTGCAATTTCGACTTTCGTTTATTCGGGACCTCCGATTCAAATGTTGGTTTGGCCAGGAGACGTCATGGACGTCTGTTTCCCCAGGGGCCCTCCAGCGCGAGCTTCGTTCGATTTTTATCGCACGCGGTTCAGTGACAGTTGAATCAAAGGTGGGAGGTTACCAGCCCCCTGGCACCCGTCCAGAGCTCCCTTTTGGCCACTGTGGTGGCGACAGGAGCCATGAAGGGGTGGAGCCGAGTTTGGAATTGGTCTTCCCTCCATTTCAATTGCTCACAGCCACCACAGTGTTAGCATCTGGCACCAACGAGGAGGTAGGGGTTTGTTTTTGCCGGACACTCACACACACACACGTGTACACACACATACACACACACAGGTACAAACACAGACATAGATGTGGATACAGATTTTATTTAAGAGCTCCTTGGAGAATACACCAGGCTGAGTAGAGTGTACACAGCTGTTATTACACACTCACACACACACTCTCACACACTCGCTAACTCTCACACACAGACACGCACTCACACACTCACACAAACTCACACACTTATTCACACAAACACAGGCGTCGCAGTTGTGGAAACAGTATTATTATAGAGTAACACTAGCAGGAAGTACCCGGCGTTGCCCGGGCAAAAAAGACCGACACACACATCGACTTACACACACTTACAGACATTGACCCACACACACAAACACATCAACTTACACACACACACATATGAACTCACACACACAGACATCGACTTTAGATACACACACATGGAGTTACACACACACACATCGACCTACACGCAGATATGGACTTACACACACATATCGACTCCAAATAAGTCAACCATAGAGATTCATAGAGACTCACAGAGACCCAGAGACTCACACAGAATCATAGAGACCCATAGAGACTCATAGAGACTCACAGAGACCCAGAGACTCACACAGAATCATAGAGACCCATAGAGACTCATAGAGACTCACAGAGACCCATAGAGACTCACAGAGATCCAGAGACTCATATAGAATCATAGAGACTCATAGAGACCCACACCCATAGACATAAACTAAACTGTGTTTATGTTTTGATTTAAACCTTTCGTGACTGCAGGGATTCATAGTCTTGGTTCTATCGGTAAAGTCACGTAGAAGGGAAACAATGAAATAATAAAAATATAAAACAACTAGCTGTACTACCCGGCTTCGCCCGGGACTTGTATCCACCACGGCCGGCCGCCTTTGTCTCCCCAGTGGCGATGTTAATACGCCACACCAGTTACTCGTTTTGCGGCTGAGTCCCTCCCTCACCACTCTCCCTCCCTCACCACTGACGCCCGGCCGCCTTTGTCTCCCCAGTGGCGATGTTAATACGCCACACCAGTTACTCGTTTGAGGCTGAGTCGACCTAGGGGAGGTTCAAATAATCGTCACCGGTGGTGGCCGTGAGCGGGAATGGAACTCGGTTCGCCGGGTTGGTAGCGCAGCGTAGCGTTAACCACTACACCCACCGCTCCTCACACACCACACACGCACAGACACACACACAGACACACACACAGACACACGCAGACACACACAGACAGACACACACACACAGACACACAGAGAGCACGCTAACCACTACACTACCGCTCCCCACACACCACACACGCACACACACAGACACACACAGACACACACACACATACATACACACACATACACACAAACACATACACACACATACACACACATACATACACAGAGACATACACATACACACAAACACACACATACATACACACAAACACATACACAATACACACACACATACATGCAGACACACAGACACATAACACACATACATACGCACACATACATACACAGAAACACATACACACACATACATACAAACACACATACATACACACAAACACATACACACACGTACATACACACATACATACAGACACGCAGACATACACATAAACACATAAAAAAAACCGACATACATACACACACACATACAAACACACAAACACATACACACACATACATACACACATACATAGAGACACACAGACATACACATAAACACATACACACATACACATGACCCGGCTTCGCCCGGGACTTGGATCCACCACGCCCGGCCGCCTTTGTCTCCCCAGTGCCGATGTGAAAACGCCACACCAGTTACTCGTTTTGAGGCTGAGTCCCTCCCTCGCCACTCTCCCTCCCTCGCCACTCTCCCTCCCTCACGACTCTGTAGAGGACGTGAAACTTTTATGAATTTACCTTAGATTCGCGTGGTGGGTGTCGAAGCTTAGCACCGTGCAGAGCCTCCCGCCTCGCCTGATTTTCCCACCCGGCTGACGCTGGGTACGGGTGCCGGTCCCCCCCCCCCTAGCGCTCGAACAATACTGAGTAATGGCTATTATTTAATTAATTACGGAGCCTATGAAAGTGGCGAAGGCGTGGCTAGCCATTGGCAGGGGCAACCGCCGTCCAATGAAACTGCAGCCCTTGGCGAAGGCGTCGCTAGCCGTTGCCAGGTCCAATGAAAGCGGCGAAGGCGTCGCTAGCCGTTGGCAGGGGCAACCGGCGTCCAATGAAAGTGCGTATGGTCCGGAGACACACAGACACACAGACAGACAGATAGACAGACAGATTCACGATTTTATATATATAGATAGAGAGTCCACCAGGCTTAGTATAGTGTACACAGCAGTTCTGCCACACTAACACACTCACACACACTCACACACTTACACTCAGACACTCACATACACTCACTCACACAGGCATAGTAGTTGTGGATGCCGTTTTATTTATAGGGATTATCTTAGAGAGTCTGCCAGGCTTAGTGAAGTGTACACAGCAAATCTTAGTCAGCCAAACCCCCAAACTACACAGTCCAGCACCGACTAGACAGTCTATGCCATCTAGACTGACTGGACCATGTAGACTGACTACACCATCAAGACTGATTAGATCATCTACATCAACTACATTGTTTAGACTGACTACACTGTCTAGACCATCTAGACTGACTAGACTGCCTACACCGTCTAGACTGACTAGGCCGACTGGACTGGCAAGAGGAGGCAGAGGAATGAGAGGCAGAAGAGAATGAGAGGAAGTAGAGGAATGAGAGGCAGGAGGAGGCAGAGGAGCTGCTACCTCAGCGTGGCCGACCGCGCCAACGAGAGGTGTTTGTGAAACCCCTCGCACTGCTGCGGCCAGCCACGGTGAGCGCGCTCGCTGCCCTCTCAGCGCTGCCCATCCTCATCGACGCTGCCCACTTGCTGGCCTCCTACTCCTCTCCTCCCGTCGGCTGCTTGTTGAAGGGGTCCACCCCAATACCCAGCCAAGACGCTCCTATTGGGGGAAAGGGAGAGGGGGGGAGGGGGGAAGGGGAGGGGAGATGGGGGAGGGGATAGAGGGGAGGGGAAGGGGGGAAGGGGGGAAAGGGAGAGAGAGGGAGAGGAGGGGGGGTTAATATCTCGCCACCGCGGCACACCAGAGGCTACCTGGGGGGCCTGTGACTCTGAGTGTGTGTACCTGGTGTGGAGCGGTAGTGTAGCGGTTAGCACTACGCTACGAACCCGGCGACACGAGTTCGATTCCCGCTCACGGCCAACACCAGTGACGATTATCTGAACCGGTCCCGGGCCTCCCCTAGGTCGACTAAGCCTCAAATCAGTTCCTGGAGAGGTGTTAAAACACCGCCACTGGGGAGACAAAGGCAGTCGGACGTGGTGCTGGCCACCCACCCACTTGTATACCGTTCTGGCCTTCATAGGTGCTCGCTAACAGCACTTGCCCCTACAGTCTATTAAGGCTATACGGGGGATCTTTGTCTTGTGTATCTGTGTGTGTGCACCTGTGTACCTGTGTGTGTGTATCTGTGTGTGTGTAAGTGTCCGGTAAAAACAACCCCCTACCTCCTTGGTAGTGCCGGACGATAACGCTGTGGTGCTTGTACCCACCACAGCGGCCAATGGGGGCTCTGGACAGGTGCGAGGGGCTGGTAACCCCTCCACCTTCAATACAAGCGCCACTAAAGCACTTGCTAAAAAATCTCACTAAGTTCGTGCTGGAGGCCCACTTGGTGGAGCCAGGAGACTGATCCCTTTACCATCAGGGTTCCTCCGGAAATGGCAAAAACCCACTGAGAGTGGCCAGGCGGAGCGAAGGCTGCCACTCTTATGTCGGGAGCTGGACCGGTTCCGCCCGGATCTCTGCGGCATTCAGGAGGTCCGGTGGACCGGCTCTGGCTCCAGTCACGATTAGCGGTGGACAGTTCTCCACTCGGAGCAGGTGACTGCACAACAACAGGGAGTGGCTCTTCTTCTGAACTAAAGAATGAAGGGGGCGTGGGAGAGTGGCGGTGAGGTATGGGAAGCTGTAAGCCCCAGACTATGGTGGGCTCATCGTGGTTGCGTATGCCCCCACCGGAGATGAACATCAGTGGAGGGATACGGAAAGATCGGCCTCTGCGGAGGAGACTCGTGAAGGATGTGACTGGACAGTTGAAGGCAGTTGCTCTCTAGCAGCAACGGAGGGCAGTGATGCTCACAGCAATGAGTGGGGTGCTAGGAGGCTAAAACAAAGCGAGTTGGCGCAGTAGGGGACACAGATGGTGTATCGGCCAGTCATCTCAGTCAGTCGACCCATGGCACCTGCTGGGTCTGTCCCGTGACCTCCTGTCGGCGGGTGTTCAACACTTAGCGTGGCCTTAAAAGTGTGCCTGGCCTGGAACAGGCGCCGTGATGGCGGTTGTTGTTTTTGTTGTGAGTTTGTGTGTGTGTGTGCGTGAGTGTCTGTGTGTCACAGTTGCTGGCCTTCATAGGCGCTGCTGCTATTTGCTACAAACAACAGCACTTGCCCCTACAGCCCTAGCCAGAGGCCATCCTGACCGAGGCCCTGCTTCCTTACCGATGGACTGCAGCATGGCCATCACCACTCCGGCTCCGTTGTAGCTTGTGGCGAAGCCTTCAGTGGAGAAGCCCATTTCTTATCCACACACGAAGTCTGCACCAACTGCTCACAACAAATGAACAACAACAGCAGTGGTGACAGTGAGGAGGAGGCTACTAGCTCACAACAATAATAAAGAATAACTGTGATGATGACAATGACGATCAGAACAACAACAATCGAGATGATGATGATGATGGTGGTGGCAATAACAATGACGATATCAACAAACAATGACGATTACAAACAACGACAACAATAACAGTGATGAGGAAGAGTTTACTATCTCAACAATAACGATCATGAAGATGATTACGATAACAGCATCACCATCACACAGAGTCACCATCACACAGCATCACCATCACACACCACCATCACACAGCGCCACATCATCACACATCATCACACCATCACACACCATCACACAGTGTAACACAGTCTCACAAGGCATCACCATCACACACCATCACCATCACACATCATCACAGCATCACACAGCATCGCCATCATACGCAAATCAACATCACACACCATCACCAACATGGCCATCACAACGCGTCACCCAGCGTCACCATCACACGGCATCACTGGACGCGTGGTGACGCCATCGCTTACCTGTTCCGGGTACATATTTGGCATCTCTGCACACGTGGTGGGTCGACTTCACGTTCTCTGTGTAGGGGTTACAAAGAGTGATCAGTTATACGTACTCACACATACACACTACACTACTTCATACTACTGCACTATATACTACAATCTTTCTTATATATAACAGTCTCTGCGCACGTGCGCTTGCGAGGGATTTGGCTCTCGAACGGTGGGGTCTATGTCGAAAAAGATTTGACAGGCAGTACTCATAGGCTATTCCGTTTTCCCATCCGTAAACTTTAAAGTAGTTTCATTTACAATTTTCTCCACGCCCCGACCAAGCTGCACGGGGGTTGCCCCTAGCAACTCACGCACATCATCGCTGGAGGGTGGGGGGGATTTCTCCTTCGTGTTCAGAATGCAACAAAAAATACATGCAACGCTGACGGTAAATTCATCAAAGTGTCATATTCTCCCACCCCAATGTGTGCACTTACTACTATAGGCTCGGTACATACTAATATTATAGCGCTTACATAGTATTATTGTAGTATTATTGTAGCTCGGGCGGGGAGATGGTGGGGGGGGGGGTAGCGGCCCAGCCACCAGCCTTCCAATGTCTCACCTCCTTCGGCTGAGCAATCTAGGCGAGGCCACGGGCTCTGCACGGGACTAGGCCTCACCACGGCAGTGTAAAGTACTACAATAATTTAATTGAATCTTTCGCTAAGAACTCGGGTTAAATGCTTGCTATTATGAAGCAAATAAGTTGGCAAATATTACACTAATAATGGTTGTGTGCAGATCACTCATGTTCATTGTTTACTATTATGAAACAAATCAATTGGCTGATATTACAATGATAATCTTTGTGTGCAGAAAAATAATTTTTCATTATTAGGTTGCTACATATTTCCTGTATTAGCTGTCTTCTTATGACGCTGAAACCGTGTACTGCCAGTCTGTGCTTTGGACTGCTGCCTGCTGATTAATTAATGTCAGTGCACTGCCACTCTATTATCTACACTGCTAATTTTGTTTTTGACCATTATGAGTGTATGCCAGTCTATAATCTGTTGCCTGCTCCTTTACCTCGGTCAGTGTACTGCCAGCCTTTCATGTCGACTGTATCCTGCTTTTTCAGCTGATGCCCGTATTGACAGCTTTGTATGTCGACTGTAGCAATGCTTATGTCATTGAGTCGGCGTACTGGCAGTCTATAATCTAGACTATAACCTGCTTCTCAACTTACCTATGCGTACTGCTGCTCTTTAATTTACACTTATTTCTGCTTATTTCTTCAATACATTTATATTGTTTCGCTATTTACTCATGCGTAGTACTGCTATGCTCATAGCTGTGCCATCATCGGGGATTGATGTGCACGTCGATGTGTGTGTGTGATTCGATGTGTGTGTTTGAGTCCATATGTGTGTGCGTGTAGGTTCATGCGTGTGTGTAAGTCCATGTGTGTGTCTGTCTTTTTCTCACGGACAACGCCCGATGTGTGTGTGTGTGTACATCGATGTGTTTGTGTGTGTGTGTCAGTCCAAGTGTGTGTATCAGTCGCTGTGTGTGTGTTAGTCGTTGTGTGTGTGTTAGTCGATGTGTGTGCATGGCTCCATGTCAGTGTGTAAGTCAATGTGCATTTGTGTGTCTTTGTGTCAATCGATGTGTGTGTGTGTACGTCCATGTGTATGTGTGTGTCAGTCCATATGTATGTATGTTAGTCCACATGTGTGTGTAAGTCCATATATGTGTGCGTGTCACTCGATGTGTGTGTGTAAGTCAATGCGTGTGTGTGAGTTGATATGTGTGTGTAACTCCATGTGTGTGGATCCAAAGTAGATGTCTGTGTGTCAGAGTCCATATGTGTATGTGTGTGTAGGGCAATGTGTGTGTCAGTCTATGTATGTGTGAGTCTATGTGTGTGTGTAAGTCCATGTGTATGCGTGGGTCCATGTGTGTGTATACGTCCATATGTGTGTGTCTTAGTCGATATGTGTGTGTGTAATTACATGTGTGTTTACGTCAATGTGTGTGTGACTCCACGTATGTCTGTGTGTGAGTCGATGTGTGTGTGTGTGAGTCGCTGTATGTGTGTATGTCGATATGTGTGTGTAACTCCATGTATGTGTATCTAAAGTGGATGTCTATGTGAGTGTAAGTCCATATATGTGTGCGTGTAAGTCGATGTGTTTGTGTGTGCGAGTCGATATGTCTGTGTGTGTACGGCAATGTGTGTGTCAGTCTATGTATGTGTGTGAGTCCACGTGCGCGTGTGTTAGTCGCTGTGTGTGCGTGGCTTCATGTTAGTCAGTGTAAGTCCATTTCTTTGCTTGTCTCTAGGTCCATGTGTGCGTGTTAGTCCATGTGTGTGCTTTATTGACCTGGTCAGGGCGTATGATACCATCAGTAGGCCTGGGCTCTGGGTTGTTGTTCGTGTTTTTGGAGTCCCTGACCCACTGCTCACGATCCCTAAGGACCTTCATGATAGTGAGCGCACCTGCGTCAAACTACGTAGTCGCGAGTCAGAGCCCTTCCCTCTACAACTTGGGGTGCGACAGGGATGTCCTCTAGCTCCCACATTATTTTAAATATATTTGGACCGCGTAGTTCGTGAAGCCTTCAATGGCTGTACCGAAAGAATTCCCATCTGGTAAACATGCAATGGGAGGCTCATCGATGCCCGGGTGCGGTCAAGGGATGGCTCCCTATTGGTCAACCACGTTATGTATGCCGATGATCTGGTAATTGCGACTCACTCAGAGGAGGAGTTTGAGGCGCTGCTGCTGAACCTGCAGCTTGCCCCTAAGAGGTGGGGCCTTACCATCAGCCCACCAAAACTAAGCACCTGCCTGGGTATTTTGTACCATCGGACAATCCACCCCCACAACTCACAATTGGTGATGGGCAGATGAGGAGAGAGTGGAGACTTTCCCATACCTGGCCAGTGTGCTCATGACCGGCTCCGGTTTAACAACAGAGGTCTCACTCCGAATCAGTTGAGCGGCATTATCTTTTCATCAGCTGCGTAACGTTGTGTGGAAGCTACCTGGTCTGTCGTTCCGCACGAAGCTTCAGGTCTTCTCGCCCACGGTCATGCCCTCCCTTCTCTACGCTTGCAAAACGTGGACCCCCCTAATGGAGCATCTTCGCCGGTTAGAAACATTTAGGCTGGCCTGCCTACGATCCATCCTGGGTTTAACCAGGCTGGATTGTTTGATGAGCTCACAAATCCTTGAAAGATCTGCACAAAGTCCCATTGGTGACCTCCTTTCTGCAGGCAAGGCTGCGTTGGCTGGGTCATGTAGCCCGCATGCCAGCCACCGCATGCCTAAACAGCTTTTGTTCCACTGGATCGAGGGGGCTAAATGGGCTCGGCACGGGCTCGAGAAGAGATGGAGTGATGTGGTACAGGAGGACGTGGAGATAAGTGGACTTGTCGATGACTGGTACCAGCAGTGTCAAAATCGGCCTCTGTGGAGGAGGCTCGTGAAGGATGCTACTGGGCAGTTGGAGGCAGTTGCCCTCCAACAACAACGGAGGGCGGAGGAGCGACGCTCACAACAACGAGCGGAGCACCGGTGGCTAAAGCACAGCAAGTTGGCACAGTAGGGGGTACAGGTGGTGCATCAGCCAGTCATCTCAGTCATCTCAGTCAGTCGACCCATGGCACCTGGGTCTGCCTAGTGACCTCCTGCCAGGGGGCATTCGACACTTCACGTGGCCTCAAGCTGCACATAGACTGGCACAAGCATCGTGGTGACGTCAACGCCACTTAGTGGCGAATGCCGGTTGTTGTTGTGTGTACTTACATGTGTGTGTGTTTGTAAGTCCATGTGTGTGTGTGTCAGTCCATGTGTGTGTGGCTCTATGTGCGTGTGTGGGTCGATGTGTGTTTGTGTGTGAGTCTATGCGTGTCAGTCGATGTGTGTACGCCAGTGTGTGTATGCATGTGACAGTCCATGTGTGTGTGCGTCCATATGTGTATGTGTACGTCCATATGTGTGTGTAGATCCATGTGTGTGTCTAAAGTCAATGTCTGTCTGTGTGAGTCAATGTGTGTGTGTCCGTGTAAGTCGATGTGTTTCTATGTGTGTGGGTCAATGTCTGTGTGTAAGTCGATGTGTGTGTCTGTCTTTTTGCCCGGGCAACGCCGGGTACTTACCGCAAGTATACTATACTACTATGCACTACTACACACTACTATACGTAACTACACACTACTATAAACACCTATACACTATAGTACTACACTACACTACTATACACTACACTACTAGACATTGCACTAATGTACACTGCAACACTATCCACTACACTTTATAGTACTACTAGCGGTTAGTACCCGGCGTTGCCCGGGCGAAAAAAGCCGACACATGTAGTTACACACGTAAATCCATTGATACACACACATAGAGTTACACGCACAAATGGACTCACACATACATACATAGACTGAACAACAACAACCGTCATTCGCCACTAAGTGGCGGTGACGTCACAACAACGCTTGTGCCAGGCTATGTGCACCTTGAGGCCACGTGAAGTGTCGAACGCCCGCTGGCAAGAGGTCACGGGGCAAACCCAGATGGCACAGGTCGACTGACTGAGACGACTGGCTGATGCACCACCTATGGCCCCTACTGTGGCAACTTTCTGTGCTTTAGCCACACGGCGCTCCGCTCGTTGTTGTGAGCGTCGCTCCTCCGCCCTCCGTTGTTGTTGGAGGGTGACTGCCTCCAACTGGCCAGTAGTGTCCTTCAGGAGCCTCCTCCACAGTGGCCGATCTTGACAAGTCTGGTACCAGTCATCTGCAAGTGGACTCAGCTCCAAGTCCTCCTGTAGCACATCACTCCATGTCTTCTCCATCCTGTGCCGCGCCGGTTTAGCACCCTCGATCCGGCGGAACAAAGCTGTTTAGGCATGTGGTGGCTGGCCATGCGGGCTACATGACTCAGGCAACGCAGCCTTGCCTGCCGGAGGTCACCGATGGGATTTTGTCCACATCTTTCAAGGATTCTGAGCTCCTCACACAATTCAGCCTGGTTAAACCCAGGATGGATCGTAAGCAGGCCAGCCTAAATGTTTCTAACTGGTGAAGATGTTCCATTAGGGGGGTCCAAGTTTCGCAAGCGTAGAGAAGGGAGGGAATGACCGTGGCCGAGAAGACCTGAAGCTTCGTACGGAGTGATAGACCAGGTAGCTTCCACACAGCGTTACGCAGCCAATGAAAAGATCATGCAGCTCGACTGATTCGGAATGCTATCTAAAGTGGCCACTCAGGCTAGAGTCATCCTATTGGGTGACTTTAATGCCCGAGTGGCACCTGGTCTGGAGTGATTGGAAGGCATGGGCCAGATCAGCTCAATAATAACGGTAGGAGGCTGCTAGACTTGTGTACAGTCCATGGGCTAGTAATTACCAACACACTCCTCTGGCATCGGCGAATCCTCGTAACATCATGGATGCATGCCGGATGCCAGCAAGAACATCTACTGGACTATATAATGACGGAACAGTCGATGCGGGCCCATATCCTTGACTCCAGGACCTACCGTGGAGCTGATCTCCCAAATGACCTTCGGGTTGTCATCTGTAAGATGCGCATGCCATTCTTCCACTCCGGTGGTGGGTGTACATTTAGAACCCCATCCAAACCCACAGTGGCCTTGTCTCAGCTAGCTGATGAACGTTAGAAGCGAGAACTTCATCATTGCTTGCAGCTGGGGTTTGCATTGTCCCCCCTTCCTCCTGATGCCGAGGGGAAATAGGTGAGGTTTAGGAATGTGGTTCATGCAGCTGAAATGGATGCTTAGGGTACATGGTCCAGACCTCCCTAGAGACCCTGGCTGATGGAGGAGGTGTTCTGGCTGGCTGAGAAAAGCAAAAGGCCCACGCCCACCACCTACAGCATCCCACGTTGGAGAATGAGGAGGCTTACCGCAGCCTTCACTCGGAGGTTCAGAAGGCTGTGTGACGCTGCAAGGATGAGTGGTGATCGTGAGTTGTTGAGGAGATGAACTCTGACTTAGTAGCCTGTGATCATAAATCACTTTTTGGCTCCATCAAAAAGTAACTTGCAGTACCACTCCTATAACTATCCTGAAGGGAAAAAACTGTGATCTGATCTCTGACTAGCAGGAACACGTTTGCAGGTTTGCTGAACATTTCTGTTAGATCCTGTGGGATGAAAAATCCCTCAGTCCAGACAACATCATGGGGCAAAGTGGGGATGAACCTGCTGAGCCTGTTGTGCATCAAATATTGGAAAAGTAGTCACCCCCTGTGAGTGGCTGGCTGAGGTGCCATCTTTTGAGGAGGTACAGAAGGCAATCCAGAGTCTGAAACCAGAAAAAGTGCTTGCAAAACGTGCACCCCCCCTAATGGAACATCGTCGCCGGTTAGAAACATTCAGACTGGCCTGCCTATGACCAATCCTGGGTTTAACCAGGCTGGATTGTGTGAGGAGCTCACAAAACCTTGAAATATCTGGACAAAGTTCCATCAGTGAGCTCCTCCGGCAGGCAAAGCTACGTCCTGCTAGCGGCTACCCGGGAGGTCATTTGTCTCTGTGTCTCCTTTACACGCTACTAATCAAAGCACTTGCCCCCTAACCGCCCTGCTATAGGCTAACTGGGAGTACTCGCTACTACAACAGCACTTGTCGCTACAGCCCTGCTAGAGGCTAATCAAGAGTGCCTTTGTCTCTGCGTCTCCTCGACTCGCTAATAAATCACAACCCTTGTCACCATAACAACAGCCTTGGCCAGATGCCCTCCTAGCCGAGGCCCTGCCTCCGTACCGGCGGACAGCAGCCAGGCCGCGATCCCACTGGCCGCCATCCCTCCGGCTGCCACCCCTCCGGCCGCCACCCCTCCGGCCGCCACCCCACCTCCGTTGGCAGCCGCGGCCAAGGCCATGGCCTTGGCGGCGATCCCTCCAGCGACGATCCCTCCAGCGCCGATGCCCGCGGCTCCTATTGCCACTGGGGCCAGAGCAACTGCGGCCACTGGCTCAGAACAACAACAAGCATGGCAACAACAACAATAACAACAGTGAGGAGGGAGGAGGCTAGCCCACAATAACAACGATGGTAACAACACCGTCACACAAACGATCACGCGGATGCATGGCGTCGCAGCAGTGTCACCATCACACAGCCTCACACACAGCATCGCCATCATACACATCATCACACACGGCATCACAGAGCATCATACACAGCACACAGCAACACACAGCATCAACAACAACAACAACCGCCATGCACCACTAAGTGGCGGTGACTTCACAATGGCGCCTGTGCCATCCTACTTGCACATTAAGGCCACGTGAAAAGTGTCGAACGCCCGCTGGCAGGAGGTTATGGGACAGACTCAACAGGTGCCATGGGTCGACTGACTGAGACGACTGGCCGATGCGCCACCTGTCCACCCTCCAGTGCCAAGAAACACTGTACGCAGCATCACAAACCTTGACCATCACACAGCAGCGTCACAACACCAGCGATCACGTGGAGGCAGTGGCGATGTTATTGCTTACCTCCTCCAGCTGCCATGGCGCCAATCTTCCACCAGTTGGTCGACTCCTCCTCTATGTGGGGGTTACACAGTGCGATTAGTTCCACGAACTCACATATACTGCACTCTACACTAATATATACTACACTATACACTACTATATACTACTACACACTACTACACTATACACTACTATATACTACTACACACTACTACACTATACACTACTATATACTACTACACACTACTACACTATACACTACTATATACTACTACACACTACTACACTGTACACTACTATATACTACTACACACTACTACAATATACACTACTATATACTACTACACACTACTAGACTATACACTACTATATACTACTACACACTACTACACTATACACTACTATATACTACTACACGTTACTAGACTATACACTACTATTTATTACAACACACTACACTATACACTACTATACATGTGGTGCCACAGCGACGGGGCCGCTCTGCCGAGCCAGGGAGCCGCCCGGCTTCCCCCACCGCACTGCCCCCAATCACCCGCCCCACATAAGCACACACCCGCACGCATCCCCCCCCCCCCCCCCATAGAGCTGGAAGGGAAGGTTACCTGATCGACCGGTTTTTATCCGAGAGACCCTTATCGGGATTAATTCTCACGGTTTCCGGCGATCAGGGAATTGGATGACCTCCCCCGTGCTACGTGGTACCGCGGCGCTGCTGCCGGCCTTAATATGGTGTGGTCGCGGCGTGGGGCATTCGGCCACCGCGGTTGAGGCGCATTTCCCCCCACACACACCCCCACGAGTCGACGGGGCAAGCAGGGGAGGCACGGGACAGCATGAATAGCGGGGTCACAGGGGCTGTTGCGCATAGTCATGGAGGGTTGGGATAATTGCGCTTGAGCGCGCAAGCCCCATTGGTAGGAAGGGTAAGGGAGTAATTAGGATTTACGCCTTGCACGCAGCACACTGATTAGCATATCAACAGCGCCTGGGGACTGCCGTGCGCGGGCTTGGGGTGCACGAGCCCATTGTTCAGCGCAGCATCCCCTTTGGGAGGTAGGGAGGATAAATAGAGGAGCGCAGAGGGGAAATCGCTCTCTTACTCCAGCGCCAGGCGACCAGACGCAGCTCGAGCCAGCGACCCGGACGTCCGTGCGACGCACCGAGGCACGCGGTTAACAGAAGGATCAGCGGACCGCCGTGGACACTTAACAGTGAGTAAGAAGGGGAATTAGAATCATAGCCGATAAATAGGGAATAGGTACAGGTTTAGTGGAATAGGCCAGCCTCGTCGACTCACTGATTCAACATCAATTCGCAGGTGGCATATAATAAATCATTAATAGCGAAGCGTGGTCTCGCGTGATCTTGTCGTGCAGTGTGAGCGTGTGGGTGCGCTGTGTGCACAGTGGTTCGCCACGTGAGTGAGCGCTGCGCGGAGCTGAGCGCGCGGGTTGCGTGTGGGAACGCGTGTGGTACTGTGTGTGCGTAAGCTCGCGGCGTGCGTAATCGGCGTACCCCAGGTGCGCGATTGTAACGTGAGCGGCCAGCGCGGCGCAGAGAAGCGCAAGAGTGAGTGCCGTACAGAGCTGTGTGTGTGGGTGTGCGCGTACGTAATTAACCATGCCTGCTACGCGGACCCGCGGTGGAGTGGAACCCTCGGGCGACGGCTCCCACACCATGGGTGAGGAACTTAGCAGCGGTTCGCTTAGCAGCGGGGGGGCGATTGATGATGCTAGCCCGGCCGTTAGCATTATCGAGGGAGGGATTTCGGGGGCTAGCGGCCCCCACAAATTGGTGTCAGAAGCGGTACGGACCCCCGCGTTACCTCACGCTAAAATAAGACTAATATTTACCGGCCGGGGGGCCCCTTCGTGGAAGGCATTCGCCCGCAATCTCTTAGGGGCCAAGGAAATTAATGGATGGACGGACGCGCAGGCAGTACGTCAACTTAATATGAATCTTGATGGGCGGGCAGCCGATTTTGTAGAAGCGTTACCCGCGAGCGCACAGACACAGCTAGAGGAGCTGATGCGCCGACTCGATCAGCGTTTTGGCACGCGTGACGAGGAGGAAGCAAAATCGGCCTTAGAGGCGCGCCGGCGCCAACCTGGCGAAGATCTACGTGATTACGCCGAGGATGTGCGTGAGTTAACAAAGATCGCACGCCCGGGGTACGCAACTGATGTTATTGAGGAACTGGCCGCCGAGAAAATCCAGCGGTACCTGTCTCGCACGGCGTGGTGGCAGCCAGACATGAGCTGCCCACGTCTTCCGTTTAACACCCTTGTCGAGCGCGCACGTAAGTGTGAAAGAATTCACAGCGAACGCGCGCAGCTCCGGGGGCTGGGACGAGAGCGCGCCATTGCGAGCCTGCTCTCGGAAGACGAGGAGGAGGGACAGGAGCTCGCGAGGACGGTAAGGGGCCGGGAAAGAGAGCCACAGAGACCCAACGAGACGACCCCGGGGTGGGTAGCCGGGTTACAGGCCGGCATGGGAGATATGATAACCCAAGTAGGTGAAAGGGTAACCCAGGTACGCGAGGAAGCAAATAAAAATATGACCAAACTGCAATCCTCCGTTGAGACCATCCGATCCGAAATGGGGGACCTACGCGCCACGGTGGGAGGGTTATCTGGGAGGGTAGCCCGACTAGAGGCGGAGGGTGGACAGCGGCGTAATGGGGGGGGAGGGAGCGGACAGGGGACCCGCTACGGAACCGCCCCCCCTCCCCGGGCATGTTATATGTGCGATCGCCGAGGGCATCTAGTGAGGGACTGTCCTGAAATCACCCGAGCGAGACAGACGCGGGGGGTTAAACTCCAACGCCCCCTAGAGAGCGGACCAACTAGGGGTGCAATCGACGCGGTCCCGATACAAATGGACGATAATGAGAATAATGGCGAGCGAGTGATCTCCACACAGGTTCCAGCAACAACGCCCACAGAAACGGTGACTCCTGGCGACTTGCTGCGGGAGCTGGTGGCGGGGATCACGGGGGCCACGTCGCTGGTGGAAGGGGAGGTTAACGGAGTGCGTACCCGAATCCTGCTGGACACGGGGGCGGTGGCCTCGCTCGTGAGCGCAGCGCACTGCAGCGCGATCGGGGTCGACGTGCGTCACCTGCAGGCACCGGACCGCGCGCTGCACACTGCGAGCGGAGCCGGAATGGGGCTGCTGGGGAGAGCCACCCTAGAGGTCCGCATAGGCAGTCAGGTGTGCACCCAGGAGTTCTACGTGTCGAGTGCGTTGTGTCACGAGTGTATCGCAGGTACCGACCTCTTAGAACGGCTGGGACTCAACGTGCAACCCCGCCAGCGATGCGCCACCATGGAGAGCAACGGCGAGCGGATACCGTTCCTGGGACGAGAACCGACGCGCCGCCGCTTTGCACCTGTGGCCGCTATCCTGACGACGGCAGTCACCATCGGCCCGCTCACCGAGATGCTGGTGCCGGTGGCAACATCCCCCACCGACCCCGCGCTCCGACCATCAGGGGAGGTAATGCTAACTCCTCACCCGGAGTTGGCAAAACGGTATGGGGTTGTGGGATCCGCCACGTTGGTAAACGCAGATGGGGACCGATTGTTTATGCGGATGTTTAACCCCCACAATACCCCCGCGATACTGCGACGGCGCACCCCGATAGCCACAGTACACCCCCTGCACGCACGCCACTCTAACGACTCGGTGTTCGCACTCTGGGCTGAGGACCCCGGTCGTCCTGAGGGTGAGCAGGACCTGGCCTGGCGAGTCGGCCCGACTCCCCGAGCCGAGGTCGTTCCCCTGCTCGACGCGTTACATGTACCATGGGCGGACTTACCTAAGGGAGAGGCCGATCGGCTGCGCGAGTTACTGCGGGAGTATGCCGACGTGTTCAGCGAACACGACTCGGACGTGGGTCGGACCGACCTTGTTAAGCATCAAATTGACACCGGTGCAGCCCGACCCATCAAACTCCCTGCGTACCGAGTGGGCGCACCCGAACGCGCCCAAATCAAAGAGGCAGTTGGGGACATGCTTCGCGATAACATAATTCAGCCCTCGGCGAGCCCCTGGTCAGCCCCGGTGGTACTAGTAACGAAAAAGGATGGGTCAACCCGATTCTGCGTCAAATACCGTAAACTAAACGCAGTCACGCTCGGCGATGCCTTCCCCATACCTCGCATCGACGACACCTTCGACAGTCTCGCAGGAGCGCGGTATTTTTCCACCCTCGATCTGGCGTCCGGTTACTGGCAGGTGGAGATGACGGAGGAGGATCGGCCAAAAACAGCATTCACCACCCCGATGGGCCTGTTTGAGTTTCGAGTGTTGCCGTTCGGACTCACTAACGCGCCCGCGACGTTCCAGCGGTTGATGGAGTTGGTGATGCGGGGCTTGCAGTGGGAACAGTGCCTGATTTACTTGGACGATGTGATAGTGTTCAGTAGATCTTTGTCTGAGCATTGGTCCAGGCTTCGAGAGGTGTTCCAGCGGCTGCGAGCGGCTCATCTCAAGCTCAAGCCACGTAAGTGTTACATCGCACAACGCGAGGTGGGGTACCTCGGGCATCGCGTCAGCGAGGCAGGCGTGCGCACCGATCCGGAGAAGGTACGCGCCGTAGTGGAGTGGCCACGGCCAAGGAATCTGACGGAGATCAGATCATTTTTGGGGCTCGCCACCTATTATCGTCGATTTGTAAAGGGATTCAGCGAGATTGCACGCCCCCTCACCCAACTCACCTCCCCTAAGCACCCCTACCAGTGGACGGGGGCCTGCCAGACGGCCTTCACCACTCTCAAAGACCACCTCACCCACGCCCCCACCCTCGCTTTCCCCGATTTTACCACCGATTTTATTTTGGACACCGACGCCTGCAGCAGCGGGCTGGGCGCGGTGTTGTCACAGGTACAGGATGGGGCGGAACGAGTCATCGCGTACGCCAGCCGGACCTTGAGTGGGGCCGAGCTGAACTATTGCGTGACCCGCCAAGAGTTGTACGCCGTGATTTTCGCATGCAAACAGTTCCGACCGTATTTGTACGGCAGGAGATGTCGCGTACGCACTGACCATTATGCTCTGCAGTTTCTTCTTACATTCAAGGAGCCGCGGGGGCAGATGGCCCGGTGGTTGGCGCAGTTGCAGGAGTACAACCTGCAAATCGAGTATCGGGCTGGCCGGACGCATGCAAACGCGGACGCCTTATCGAGGCGACCCACGGTGTACGCCGAGACGAGGGCGGAGGAGGCCTGCCCGTGTTTCACGGGGGGACGCTGCCGGCAGGCAACGGACCCCCGAGAGGCCGCGGCCACTGACCCCCCCCCAGCGAGGGAGAGTGCAGTGTGCGCCACAGAAACCCTCACAGGTGGCACTGAGGATCCCGTCGACCGCCCGGCAAGCGCGGGACCCGCGGCTCGGGACCCGATCGGACGGATCCAGGAGGACGTCGGCTGCGCCTTCCCGGGCCTAAACGACGAGCAGCTGAGACAGACCCAGCAGCGAGATCCGGATCTGGCGGCAGTGGAGGCGGCACTGCGGGAGGAAAAGAGCGCCCTACCAGGACCCTGGAGCGGTTTGTATGCCCGGTTGTGTGTGCGGAACGGAGTGGTACGGGAGTTAACCGAGGCCGGCCAGCCGGGGGGCATCTGTGTTCCTGCCCAGGTGCGACCCCAGCTGCTACGGCTGGTGCATGACCACCCACTCGGGGGCCATGATGGGGAACGGCGCACCCGGGAGACCCTGCGTCGCCAGTATCTCTGGCCCAAATTGGCACAAGATGTGGCCGCCTGGGTGCAGGGCTGCCGGGCCTGTCAGCAGTGTGGGCAAAAGCCGGCGAGGTACCAGGTACCCCTGAGGCCGTTCCGAGTCAGTCGGACGAATCAGTTGGTCGGAATCGACCTGCAGGGGCCCTTTCCACGATCCCACCGGGGCAACCGATATATTCTCGTAGCGGTGGAATACTTCACCCGCTACCCCGTGGCGGTGGCTATCCCAGATAAAACAGCCCTTGTAGTGGCCCGGGCCTTCGTGGAAAACTATGTACTTAAGTGCGGGATCCCCGAACGAGTCATTACCGACCAGGGTAGTGAATTCGAGGCCGAATTATTTCAGGCGCTGTGCCGAGAGTTCGGGATCCAGAAGGACCGAACCACGGCGTATCACCCCCAGGCGAACGGGATGGTAGAGAGGATGAACCAGACTCTGGCCGGGAAGCTTAAACGCATGGCGGCCGCGAATCAACAGGACTGGGACGAACACCTTCCCTATGCCCTGTTCGCCTACACCACCGCCGTTCACACCTCTACAGGACAGACCCCGTTCCTAATGATGTTTGGTCGCGAGTCTCGCCTGCCCGCAGATCTGCTGTTCGGTGTTCCTCCGCCGCAACGGGAGGAAGGGAGCCACCCCGTGGAGCACTTGCTGGAGACCCTGCGAGGGGCCAGGGGCCGAGCCTGCCCGCACGGAGAGGCCGCGCACCAGCGGCAAGAGCAGGGCGCCCGACCCCGTATGGAGCCCCCCTTCTACACTGCGGGCTCCGAGGTGTGGCTGTACACTCCCCGCGTCGGTGCCGGACAGGTGGGGAAGCTGACCACCTACTGGCGAGGACCCTGGATTGTGAGACGGCAGATCTCACCATGGACGGTGCTGATTCAGGGAGGAGAGAGGGGCCGGGAGATGGTGGTCAACATCCGCCGACTGAAGCCGTGGCGAGCAGCCCCCGAGGGGGGGAGCCCCGCCGTCCAAGTACCCCGAAACCCCGGGGTCCCCCCACCCCCCGTGCCCGGGGGCCTCGCGCAGTACATGGGCCCCACGGAGCCCCGGGCTCCGAGGGGCCCCGGGCGGGGCCGGGGGCGACGAGGACGGCGACCCTTAAACCCCACCGCCTCTGAGTTTGTTCCCCAGCCCGCAGGTGCCAGAGGCCGAGGGGAGCCGTTGGAATGGAGGAGGAGACCCCCGCCGGAGCCCCAGGAGACGGAGCCGCCACCCCCGAGGCCAACCACAAGGGCCGGGCGAATCCCGCGGACCCCGCGGCGATACCTCGTGGGGGCAACCCAGGCGAGGTGCTCAAGTCAACCCGGGACGGGGACTGGCACCCCGGGGGGCTATGTGGTGCCACAGCGACGGGGCCGCTCTGCCGAGCCAGGGAGCCGCCCGGCTTCCCCCACCGCACTGCCCCCAATCACCCGCCCCACATAAGCACACACCCGCACGCATCCCCCCCCCCCCCCCCATAGAGCTGGAAGGGAAGGTTACCTGATCGACCGGTTTTTATCCGAGAGACCCTTATCGGGATTAATTCTCACGGTTTCCGGCGATCAGGGAATTGGATGACCTCCCCCGTGCTACGTGGTACCGCGGCGCTGCTGCCGGCCTTAATATGGTGTGGTCGCGGCGTGGGGCATTCGGCCACCGCGGTTGAGGCGCATTTCCCCCCACACACACCCCCACGAGTCGACGGGGCAAGCAGGGGAGGCACGGGACAGCATGAATAGCGGGGTCACAGGGGCTGTTGCGCATAGTCATGGAGGGTTGGGATAATTGCGCTTGAGCGCGCAAGCCCCATTGGTAGGAAGGGTAAGGGAGTAATTAGGATTTACGCCTTGCACGCAGCACACTGATTAGCATATCAACAGCGCCTGGGGACTGCCGTGCGCGGGCTTGGGGTGCACGAGCCCATTGTTCAGCGCAGCATCCCCTTTGGGAGGTAGGGAGGATAAATAGAGGAGCGCAGAGGGGAAATCGCTCTCTTACTCCAGCGCCAGGCGACCAGACGCAGCTCGAGCCAGCGACCCGGACGTCCGTGCGACGCACCGAGGCACGCGGTTAACAGAAGGATCAGCGGACCGCCGTGGACACTTAACAGTGAGTAAGAAGGGGAATTAGAATCATAGCCGATAAATAGGGAATAGGTACAGGTTTAGTGGAATAGGCCAGCCTCGTCGACTCACTGATTCAACATCAATTCGCAGGTGGCATATAATAAATCATTAATAGCGAAGCGTGGTCTCGCGTGATCTTGTCGTGCAGTGTGAGCGTGTGGGTGCGCTGTGTGCACAGTGGTTCGCCACGTGAGTGAGCGCTGCGCGGAGCTGAGCGCGCGGGTTGCGTGTGGGAACGCGTGTGGTACTGTGTGTGCGTAAGCTCGCGGCGTGCGTAATCGGCGTACCCCAGGTGCGCGATTGTAACGTGAGCGGCCAGCGCGGCGCAGAGAAGCGCAAGAGTGAGTGCCGTACAGAGCTGTGTGTGTGGGTGTGCGCGTACGTAATTAACCATGCCTGCTACGCGGACCCGCGGTGGAGTGGAACCCTCGGGCGACGGCTCCCACACCATGGGTGAGGAACTTAGCAGCGGTTCGCTTAGCAGCGGGGGGGCGATTGATGATGCTAGCCCGGCCGTTAGCATTATCGAGGGAGGGATTTCGGGGGCTAGCGACCCCCACATACACTACAATGTAGGGAATGTGCACAAAGCGGTTAAATATACATACTGACAAATATATACACTACACTGCTGTACACACTGCACTATACATGGACTCCTCTACTTACGAACCAGTTCGGTTCCAGAATTCTGTGTTCGTAAGTCGATTTGTTTGTAAGTCCAAACTTTAATTATGTCGATTCCAAACGTGTTGTACGACGTGTACAGTAAACACGGGGAATGGCTTTAAGAGTTGTATCATCTCCTGCAGATGTAGATACCACTGGTTCTTCAGGTTCCACACATGTAGATGCAACTAGTTCTTCAGGTTATGCAGATGTAGATACCACTGGTTATTCATGTTCTGAAGATGTAGATGCCACTGATTCTGCATGTTCTGCAGATGTAGATACCGCTGGTCTTCAGGTTCTGCAGATGTTGATACCACGGGTTCTTCATGTTCTGCAGATGAAGATGCCACTGGTTCTTCATGTTCTGCAGATGTAGATGCAACTATTTCTTAAGGTTATGTAGATGCAACTTATTCTTCAGGTTCTGCAGATGTAGATGCCACTGGCGCCTGTGCCATCCTACTTGCACATTAAGGCCACGTGAAAAGTGTCGAACGCCCGCTGGCAGGAGGTCATGGGACAGACTCAACAGGTGCCATGGGTCGACTGACTGAGACGACTGGCCGATGCGCCACCTGTCCACCCTCCAGTGCCAAGAAACACTGTACGCAGCATCACAAACCTTGACCATCACAAAGCAGCGTCACAACACCCGTGATCACGTGGAGGCGTGGCGATGTTATCGCTTACCTCCTCCGGTTACTATGGCACCAAACTTCCACCAGCTGGTCGACTTGTCCTCTATGTGGGGGTTACACTGCGATTAGTTGCACGAACTCACATGTACACACTGCAGTCTACACTAATATATACTACACTAGACACTACTATATACTACTACACACTACTACACTGTACACTACTATATACTACTACACACGACTACACTATACACTACTATATACTACTACGCACTACTACACTATACACTACTATATACTACTACACACTACTACACTGTACACTACTATATACTACTACACACTACTACACTATACACTACTATATACTACTACACACTACTACACTATACACTACTATATACTACTACACACTACTACACTATACACTCCTATATACTACGACACACTACTACACTGTACACTACTATATACTACTACACACGACTACACTATACATTACTATATACTACTACACACTACTACACTATACACTACTATATACTACGACACACTACTACACTGTACACTACTATATACTACTACACACTACTACACTGTATACTACTATATACTACTACACACTACTACACTATACACTACTATATACTACTACACACTACTACACTGTACACTACTACACACTACTACACTATACACTACTATATACTACTTCACACTACTACAATATACACTACTATATACAGTGATACCTCGGTTCACGAACGCTTCTGTTCACGAACAACTCGGTTCACGAACAGAAAAGTTCATAAAAATCGGCTCCGGTTCACGAACTCCGCTTCGGTTCACGAACAGGAGCCGCGGCCATTTTAATGCAATTTCCAGGCTGTCACATGGTCGTGACTTTCTGTAGGAAGATCGTGTAGAGAATAAGAGACACAGAAAGAAGTACTGTGAGTACTGTGAAGACACTTTCAGTGACTTTTTGCTTTTTGGTGTGCTTTTTAGCACATACAGTACTGTACTACTGTACTGTGCTTACTGTATTGTACAGTTCACCCGTTTGAGTGCTTACTGAAGTCATCTCAAGCAAGGTTAGTGTTCTCTCTTTATACATTACTATACTGTACAGTACTAATGTGTATTGTAATTTGTTTCATATTTTTGTGCTTCAAAAACCAAAAAAAAGGTCAGAACGGATTAACCGGATTTACATTGAACCCTGTGGGGAAATGTGCCTCGGTTCACGACCAATTCGGTTCGCGACCAGAGTCAGTTCACGAATTAAGTTCGTGAACCGAGGTATCACTGTACTACTACACACTACTAGACTATACACTACTATATACTACACACTACTACAATATACACTACTATATACTACTACACACTACTACACTATACACTACAATATACACTACTATATACTACTACACACTACTAGACTATACACTACCAGAGGCGGTTTCTTCATTAGGGCGATTGGGCGACGCACCACCAATCTCATTTAACCACATAGTTATGCGAGCCGTTACTGTGCCTCTGGATATAGTCCAATCAGCGTCATGTCACGTTCTGTGGAGTACCGCCTCTTTTTGGGCGATTTCACTCCGGCTGAGAATCGCCCAGAGTGTTCCCATAGACTTACATTCAAAGATGATTTTTTTCGAACGGTGGGCGCTGCAATGCATTCTCTATGGCTTCCGGGAGGGCTCGCACTAACGTGCTTACGTCATCATACGTAAGCACGTTTCAGTCAACAATATTATTTGTCGCCACCTAGTGGAATCTTTAATAAAAGAAACTGAGTGGATTGTAATAATAGTGAGTATAGAAACAAACAAGATGTATTGTAAGAGTCACTTTATTTTTCATTAATATTAAAGAAGTGAAGTTGCCTTTACATGCTTAAGCTGTTAATTTATCCATTGCATGGGTGGACCTTATGCTTATCAATCATCCAGACATTTGCCCCCCCCTGAGAGATTTTGCAGGAGCCGCCACTGTACACTACTATATACTACTACACACTACTACACTATACACTGCTATATACTACTACACACTACTACACTATACACTACTATATACACACTACTACACTATACACTACTACATACTACTACACACGACTACACTATACACTACTATATACTATTACACACTACTACACTATACTCTACTATATACTACTACTACACTATACACTACTATATACTACTACACACTACTACACTGTACACTACTATATACTACTACACACTACTACACTATACACTACTAGTTATTACAACACACTACTACACTATACACTACTATACACTACAATGTGGGGAATGTGCACAAAGCGGTTAAATATACATACTGACAAATATATACACTACACTGCTATACACACTGCACTATGCATGTGTAACGGGTTCTGGAGACACTTGTAGAGGTAACTTCTTTATTACTTACTAACAGCACTCCAACACTCCAACTCTCCAACTCTCCAACTCTCCAACACTCCTGATACTCTGTTACAGCCTAGGTACACAGCCTAGGTACACAGCCTAGATACTCTACTCTGGCTACGCTCTGGAACTCGCCCTCACAAGGTCGTAGAGTCGGGAGTTCCAGAGTCCCACCACTGGCTCTCGCAGCGTCCCAGGGTCCTCCGATGGCTGGTCTTGGGTCTTGGGTCTTGAGCTACGACTGGGCCCTGATCGTCCAGGGAGCTCCCCTTTTATGCCTGGTCCAACGAGGGGTGGGACCGTGTGCGCCACCAGACATCCCACAGAGCACACACAGCCCCCCCCCCCCCCCCCCCCCCGTTGGCGGCGCCAAGAGGCTTAAGCGTCTGGACCCGCCTGGGAACCCAGCGCCTGGCGCCCAGAGGCTTAAGCGCCTGGTCCACCCAGGGTCCCAGAGCCCCCAGCAGCCCCTCCCTTCTTATGTCACTACACATGGACTCCTCTACTTACTAACGAGTTAGGTTCCAGAGGTCTGTGTTTGTAAGTCCAAACTTTACTCCTGTCGATTCCAAACGTGTTGTACGACGTGTACAGTAAACACGGGGAATGGCTTTAAGAGTTGTATCATCTCCTGCAGATGTAGATACCACTGGTTCTTCAGGTTCCACACATGTAGATGCAACTGGTTCTTCAGGTTATGCAGATGTAGATACCACTTGTTATTCATGTTCTGAAGATGTAGATGCCACTGATTCTGCATGTTCTGCAGATGTAGATACCACTGGTCTTCAGGTTCTGCAGATGTTGATGCCACGGGTTCTTCATGTTCTGCAGATAAAGATGCCACTGGTTCTTCATGTTCTGCAGATGTAGATGCAACTATTTCTTAAGGTTATGTAGATGTATATGCAACTTATTCTTCAGGTTCTGCAGATGTAGATGCCACTGGTTCTTCAGGTTCTGCAGATGAACGACTCTCGCAAAAACATAGCAACTGGACATAGGGACAGGTCTGTCCGTATCTCTGAAAGTTCGTAAGTAGAGGAGTCCTTATACTACTGTTGCGTCGTAGAACCACGCGGAGACGTAACTTCTTGTAAGGGATTCCGCCATTTATTAACACTCGTTAAACACTCAGGCTCACACCAGGGGTAGGTGTTCTCTATACTCCTTCCCATGGACCCCCGAGCTCTACTCGTCCTATCCTTTGGGCTCTCTCACTCGGGCCGGGACAGGGGTTCATGCAACACTGTCCGGTCATGAGCAGGAAAGACCTCCTGCATCCGATCCACACTCCGGGCTCCCACAATGACCACGACTTCGTCACGGGGTGCCCCTTAAGTAACCCTTGGGCGGCTCCTCCTCTTCACTCGGACCCGCCCCTTTCAGCACCCATGACATGACGTCATCACACTACTACTGGTTTTTCATGTTCTGCAGATGTACGACTCTCGTTAAAAAAAGGCAGATGGACATAGTAACAGGTTTGTACGTATCTGTGAGTGTTCGTAAGTAGAGGAGTACTTACACTACTTTATACTACTACACACTACTATACCATACATTATACTACACTACTATACACTACACTACTATACACAACGCTATACACTATACAATGCACTACTATATACACTCACTACTATATACTATTACACTGCACTTTTATATCAACGACACTATATACTACACTACTATACACTACTACACACTACACTACTATCCACTACTACACACTACACTACTATACACTACTACACACTACACTACTATACACTACTACACACCACACTACTATACATGACACTAATATACACTACATTACTGTATACGACACTATACACTGCACTACTATACGTAGTGCTATATGCTACAATAGACTACATAATACACTACATTACTATACAATACACTACTATACACTGCACTACTTTACACTACACTACTACACACGACACTCGTATACACTACACTTATCACTATATTACTATACACTACACTCTACACTACCCTATACACTACACTATACACCACTACTATGTGTAGTGACAGAACGGTCACTACTGTGTTGGCCCGTACGAGGGCTGGGGGCCCCAAGGGGGTGCCTGGGGGGTCACGTGCTGGAGGGATCCGGACCTTCCCAGAGGTGGGGGAAGGGAGGCGTGGCCTGGGAAGTGAGGCGTAGCCTGGGAAGGGAGGCGTGGCCTGGGCGGAGCCGGCCACGCCAGAGAGACGAGATATAAGCGTGGTGTGAACGGGGAGCAGGGCTGTTCCTGAGAAGAATGAAGACACCTCGTGAAGATGCCAGAAGAGAGGACCTACAGTGAGCGGACTGCCAGCAGCCACCTGGCTGGGTCACGCTGGAGCGGCTAAAATACAATGGTGTGTTAGCTAGTGTAGGTCGGTGGTCACCACCCTATGTGTAGAGTAAGAGTAACTGTTGAGTAAACGTTGTGTTAATTAATAAATGAGTGTTGCCTCCCAAGAAGTGTGTGCGCCTAAATTGAACCCATTACATTTGGTGTCAGAAGTTGTGGAAAAATAAATATTGCTAGGTGTTATCCTAGGGAAGTAAAATGGGCACACGAAAAACAAATACAAAACTCATCTGGACGTCTTCGTACGACGGGGATGGTGTGACGACCGTCCTTCGGACAGCCCCGGGGATGGCAGCCCCGGTGACAGAGAGAGAGAGAGATGGCGCTGCACGCGGAGCGGCGGGACTTGCATCACACTGCTGTTTCGCCGCCATCGGGAACGGAGCGATGGAGCCGCGGCGAGAGGACACCATCGTCGCTGCGGGGGAGGCCCGGGCATGCGGGCCACGCGGTGGGCCCGCCATTTCGGCGGCTGGTCGGGGCGCTGTTCCCGCCAAAACACCGTTCCCGCCATTTCGGCGGCTGGTCGGGGCGCTGTTCCCGCCAAAACGCCGTTCCCGCCATTTCGGCGGCTGGTCGGTGCGCTGTTCCCGCCAAAACGCCGCTCCTGCTGCCGAAATGCCGCTCCCGCCGACATCAACGCCTGCAGAGGGGGAGTTCCAGCCTTCTGCTCGAGCGCGACTTGTGGATGGGGGTTCGCAAAAGCAGGCCATATTCACCATGCAAGATTCTTCGAGCCGTCCCAGTGCTCCACCTTGCCGCCCTCCGATATTCACAGTTTGCCAGGCGAGTCGTGACATGACACGAGAAAAATAATAATAATCTTCACCCATCTTGCGTGTGCCGGGTTGCGATCGTGTGTTTTTTATTACTCGCTGGGTTGCGGAGCGTGTTCGTCCGGTTGTGTGCGTGAGAAATTGACGCGGCGACCAGTGTTTGTTGTTAATTACGGCGTCGAGATCGGTATCTTCTGGGGGTAGTTAATGATTAATTCGTTGTTGGTGTCCCGAGTTCCGTGGATATCCTGTATGTTGCCGTGTTAATGACTCGTGTTGTTACATCGTTGTGTTGCGAAATCACCATTGTTATTGTGTATACTGTATGGAGTTTCGCTCGTGATTGTCACTTGCAACTGTCAGAAACTTTGATCGTCATTGTTGCCAATGTACAGACCGTATGGAGCTTTGCTTGGAATTGTTAACAGTGTATGGAATGTTGGGTACTTGCTTGTGATTATTTACTATGTACGGATTGTCTGGAGTATTATTGTGTGTGTTGCCATGTGGGGACTGGATGGAACATTACGCCAAATGATTGACTGTACGAACTTCGTATACTGCATATACTGTATTAATCAATTCGGCGATTCTTGGGGTTTGTGTACAGTTTTTTTCTCTCAAAATTCGAATGCCCTGAGTCCCATGGTTAATGTTGAAGGGGATTTTGAAGTGACAGGTTCGGTTTGTTTAAAACTCACTGGTTGGTTCCTGTCCGTTGTTGCACAGATGATGTCTTTTGTGCGGGAATGCTCCTTGTGTTCTACATGGATCGGGGGTGCGTTTCCGTTAATTGCCGTCAAATTGCATTGCTCTCTCCACTCGGTTGGTACAGCTGCATTGCTGCAATGCGAGTCTCGGAGATGATGTGTACGGATACGGGATGTGAGGTGTATTGTTGTGACCATTGAATATTCGGGATCGTCAAAAAAAAAAAATTGTGCGTACCTGTTCGGCATTGGATCAGTTCTGTGGGGGATCATAATTCAAATTGTATGTGTTGTGATGGTGACATGCTGCCAGGGATTTGGAATTGTGCTGCTGGCTGTCACCTATCTTGGGGCGCAGGTCCTGACCAGGATGGCCCAGTGAGTGTTGCGTGTCTAACATGAACGTTGTGGTCCCGTCATGCTATGGCTGACGGCTTGACCTGACAGCCCGGAGATTGAAACACTCCGTGGTATGTCTAGCCTAGTGGGCTGTGCGCTCACATGGCTCGGAGAGTGTGGTCCCGTCATGCTATGGCTGACGGCTTGACCTGACAGCCCGGAGATTGAAACACTCCGTGGCATGTCTAGCCTAGTGGGCTGTGCGCTCACATGGCTCGGAGAGTGTGGTCCCGTCATGCTGTGCCTGACGGCTTGACCTGACAGCCCGGAGATTGAAACACTCCGTGGCATGTCTAGCCTAGTGGGCTGTGCGCTCACATGGCTCGGAGAGTGTGGTCCCGTCATGCTGTGTCTGACGGCTTGACCTGACAGCCCGGAGATCGAGACACTCTGTGGCTTGTCTAGCCTTGTGGGCTGTGCGCTCACATGGCTCAGGGAGTGTGGTCCCGTCATGCTGTGTCTGACGGCTTGACCTGACAGCCCGGAAATCGAGACACTCTGTGGCTTGTCTAGCCTTGTGGGCTGTGCGCTCACATGGCTCAGGGAGGGTGGTCCCGTCATGCTGTGTCTGACGGCTTGACCTGACAGCCCGGAAATCGAGACACTCTGTGGCTTGTCTAGCCTTGTGGGCTGTGCGCTCACATGGCTCAGGGAGGGTGGTCCCGTCATGCTGTGTCTGATGGCTTGACCTGACAGCCCGGAAATCGAGACACTCTGTGGCTTGTCTAGCCTTGTGGGCTGTGCGCTCACATGGCTCAGGGAGGGTGGTCCCGTCATGCTATGGCTGACAGCTTGACCTGACGGCTCGGAGGTTGAGACCCTCTGAGGCGCATTGAAACAGTGGGCTGGAGATTCGTAAGGTTCGGGTGGAGTTGGCCTGTTACGTTGAGACTGTTTCCCTCAGTTGTTAGGGTGCATGTTGTGCAGTGAGTGAACGATGGGTCGTCTCAGCTCGGTCGGTACAGCTATATGCTGCGATGCGAGTCTGGGAGAGAGACTGGGTCGTCTCCGCTCGGTCGGTACAGCTATAGGCTGCGATGCGAGTCTTGGGGAGAGACTGGGTTAAAATCCCACCGATATGGCCGACGTGTGCTACTGGTTGTGACGCCGCGTCGGAAAGGCGGTGGGGTGGTAACATGGAAATTCCCCCCCCGATATGGCCGACGTGTGCTACTGGTTGTGACGCCGCGTCGGAAAGGCGGTGGGGTGGTAACATGGAAATTCCCCCCCCCCGATATGGCCGACGTGTGCTACTGGTTGTGACGCCGCGTCGGAAAGGCGGTGGGGTGGTAACCTGAAAATCCCCCCCCCGATATGGCCGACGCGTGCTACTGGTTGTGACGCCACGTCGGAAAGGCGAGGGGGTGCTAATGGGTGACTGTCATTGCATGCGTGATTCTAACGGGGGGGGGGGGGGGGGGGGCTGTGCTGTAGCGTAAGTGGGTTAGCCAGTTTTCATGTATATTTGTTGTTAATTCCCCGTTTTCTATGCGGTTCCCTTTTACCCTCGTCGATTCTGTATATATTACGTGATTGTATTTCTTATCGGTCGCCGGTCATTTATTGATGTTGCTGGTTCGGAGGCACACCTTTTCGATGTTCACAGTTGTGTTACAGCCGGGGACGGCTGTGTGTTTATACAGGGGGGGGGTGATGTAGTGACAGAACGGTCACTACTGTGTTGGCCTGTACGAGGGCTGGGGGCCCCAAGGGGGTGCCTGGGGGGTCACGTGCTGGAGGGATCCGGACCTTCCCAGAGGTGGGGGAAGGGAGGCGTGGCCTGGGAAGTGAGGCGTGGCCTGGGAAGGGAGGCGTGGCCTGGGCGGAGCCGGCCACGCCAGAGAGACGAGATATAAGCGTGGTGTGAACGGGGAGCAGGGCTGTTCCTGAGAAGAATGAAGACACCTCGTGAAGATGCCAGAAGAGAGGACCTACAGTGAGCGGACTGCCAGCAGCCACCTGGCTGGGTCACGCTGGAGCGGCTAAAATACAATGGTGTGTTAGCTAGTGTAGGTCGGTGGTCACCACCCTATGTGTAGAGTAAGAGTAACTGTTGAGTAAACGTTGTGTTAATTAATAAATGAGTGTTGCCTCCCAAGAAGTGTGTGCGCCTAAATTGAACCCATTACATTTGCATGACACTATATACTATACGATCCACTACACTATACTATACAATGCACTACTATACAAGACATTATACACTACTATTGACTAAACTATACATTACCATACACTACACTACTATACACTACTAGACAGGACACTATACATCACACTACTTTACACTACACTTAACACTATAATACTATACACTCTACACGACACTACTCTACACTACACTATGAACTACTATACACTACACTACCATATACGACACTATACACTACTATACACTACACAACTATAGATGACACTACTACACTATACATTTCACACTACTCTACTACACATTACACTACTATACACTTAACTACTATACACTTAACTACTATACACTACACTACTACACACTACGCTACTGTACATATCACTATACACTCCACTATGCACTGCACTATACACTACACTCCTATACACTCCACTATACATTACACTATACACTACTACATACTACACTACTATGCACTCCACAATACACTACACTATACACTACTATACACTACTTCCTCCGCACCTCCAATGAGCGAGGTTGGATACATAACGGTGCAAAAGAGGTCCAACATACAGCGTACATACAAGTTTGAACATCTGAACAACTCCCACATTAAACAAAACGTAGCTACACTCACACACATGTACACACAAACACGTGTACACACGCACACACGTGTACACCCACACACATGTACACAAACATGTACAAAGATCCCCCATATAGCCTTAACAGACTGTAGGGGCAAGTGCTGTTAGCGAGCACCTATGAAGGCCGGAACAGTGCACGAGGGGGTGGGTGGCCAGCACCACGCCCGACCGCCTTACACACACGTTCACACACACATGTACACACACACATGTACACCCACACACATGTACACAAACATGTACACACACACGTTCACACACACATGTACACACATACGCGTGTACACACACGCACACACGTGAACACGCACACGTTCACACACACATGTACACACATACGCGTGTACACACACGCACACACCTGAACACGCACACGTGTACACCCACACACATGTACACAAACATGTACACACACACGTTCACACACACATGTACACACATACACGTGTACACACACGCACACACCTGAACACACACGCGTGCTGTACTCACCTTTAGCTATTGCGGGCGTGAGCGAGACGCTCAAGATGGCGGCGATGAAGAGGACGGCTATCCTTTGTGACGTCATAGCTGACACGGTGCTTGTGGGGAACCAATGAGAACGACGGCAGCTGCAACCTGCATGGCACCAAACAAGGAAATAAGTATAACCCGTAAAAACAAAGTTTTTCACTATAAATCCTTTATATGCGTGGCGGCTAGAGTCCTCTCGTTCTCTGGCTTGAGATGGCTGCCACATATGGGTCAGATGATTGTCTGCCAGTATTAAGCAATTGGTAATTAAATATTTAATTTGTTTTCCCTAAACAGTGTAAAAATTTAGAAAAAACATTTCGCGAAAATTAATTGTCCCGCACAACGAGTCTGTGTGGAAAATGTCAGCGCGATTGGATCACGGGAAGTGGGTTAAAAAACGACCGAAAGATTTGCACGGTCGTAAGCAAGCAAGCACGCAAGCACGCAAGCAAGCGAACTTAATATAAAGGATTTAAAAAGATTCCCCCTTGCAGCCTCTTAACAAACTGTAGGGGCGAGTGCTCACTGACTCATTCACCAATAACAATACCCGCCATTCGCCACTAAGTGACACACAAACTCACCACACACAGACATAGACACACTCACCGCCCACCCGCATTCACCACTCACCAATACCAATTCTCGCCATTCGCCACTAAGTGACTTTGATGTCACCACGGCGCCTGTGCCAGGCCAGGCGCATTTTTAAGCCACGTGAAGTGTCAAAGGCTCACTGACAGGACGTCTCGGGACAGACCCAGGTGCCATGAGTTGGCTAGGATGACGAGTAGACGCACCAGCTGTACCCCTACTGTGCCAACTTCCTCCATTTTAGCTACCTGGCACTCCGCTCATTGTTGTGAGCGTTGCTCCTCTTCGCTCAGTTGTTGGTGGAGGGCGGGCGACTGCCTACAACTGCCCAGTAGCGTCATTCACAAACCTCCTCCACAAATATTGACTTAAAGCTTTCGTGAATGCAGGAATTCATATTTTTTGGGTCATTCGGTAAAGTCACGTAGATAGATTCAAACAAAATAACAAAAAATTACAAACCAAAAACTACGACGTTTCGATCGCAACACAAGCGTCCATCATCAGGAAGAGAGAATTAGCTTCTTAAGGTAAACTGTTTTATAAAGGTTTGAAATGGGCATATCCCAAATGTCAACCAGTCATAGCTAGCTGTGATGTTCCCATCCTACCACCTTCCGATGATAGTTGTTATTTTCGGCTCTCTGATTTTACATTAAACACGATACATTTCTCACCCTAACACAGCTGCCGAGCTCACCGAGCTCGAGGTTTTTGCCTTGCGATCTTCCATTAACAAGCTAATCTCTCACATTAACATGCTAATCTCTCTCGTTAACATAGCCACCTCAAGGCACTGCCGTTGAGACCTCTCAGCCATCTTACATTATCATGCTAATTTTTACTGGGCAGCCCTTTAATTGGTGGGAAATCCTACCAGCGTCGCGGTCGCTGCCCACCACTGACATTTCCATTGGCTGCTGACATTTGGGCTACGCCCATTTCAAACCTTTATGAACAGTTTATCTTTAGAAGCGAACCCTCTCTTCCTGATGATGAACGCTTGTGTTGCTATTGAAACGTCGTAGTTTTTGTTGTTATTTTCTTTGAATCTATCTACGTGACTTTACCGAAAGACCCAAATAATATAAACTCATCCACAAAGGCCGATCTTGACAGAACAACTCAGAGCCCAGGCCTACTCATGGTATCATAGGCCTTGGCCATTTCAATAAAGCACCTCTGCATCTCCTATGCTGTAGCAGAAGGATGGAAAAATGGCATCTGTGCAGGACCGCCCTGGCCTGAAACCACAGCGGGGCTCCACAAGCCTCTTCTGAGTGTGCCTGGCAAGGTGATGTTGAATAATCCATGCCAGGACCTTTCTCGTCAAACCGAGGAGGGAGATGCCCATGTAATTGTTACATTTTGTACGGTCCCTTTTCTTAAAAAGGGGGACCACCAGGGCATCTTTCCAATTCTGCGGAACCCATCCAGTGGTCCAGACTGTAATTATAATGTCATGTAGGGCAGTCTACGCACAATCGCCACCCTCCTTCAGCATTTTGCTTGGAAGATCATGGCTGCCCAGCGTTTTTCCTGGTCTATGACTCTGGATCACCTTCCATACTTCCTCAACAGATGGTACTTCAGCCAACCACTCACGGGGGTCACTACCACTTCCAATATTGAGGCACTGCAGCCTCAGCAGGGTCATCCCCACTTTGCCCCACGTTGTTTTCCAGGCTGAGGTATTTCGCCTCCCCCAGGACCTCACATAAATGCTCAGCAAATCTGCAAACCTGTTTCTGGGGGTCGAAGATTGGATCACCGTTCTTTCCCCGAATGATAGTGATTGATAAGTGTGGTGCTGAAAGTAACTTTTTTATTAAGTTAAATAGTGATTTATGATCGCAGCCTACTGAGACAGATTCCATCTCCTCTACAACCAGTGACCACCACCCATCCTTGTAGACGGTGGGAGTGGACCTGACAATTTTTCTGATTCATACCAAGGTCTAAGAGCTTTGTACCGTATACCCAACGCAGCCATTACAACTGCATGAGCCACGGTCCAAAACCTTGCCCATTTCCCCTCGGCCCCAGCTGCAAGTAATAATTAAATTCTCGCTTGCAACTTTTATCAGGCCACTGTGAGTTTAAAAGCGGTCCTAGATGTACACTCACCACCGGAGTGGAAGAATGGCAGGCGTGCCTTATAGATGACAAGCCGATGATCATTGGGAAAATCAGCTCTACGGTAGATCCTGTTGTCAAGGACTATATTGTCCAGCAGATGTTTTTGCTTGGACCCGGCGTAGATGCGCCGATACCGGAACAGCAAGAGACACACAAACATCTACGCACAATGGCACACTCACCATTCACACACACATTTACCACACACAGACTGACAGACACACATTTACCACTGACCTGCTCTTTCACCACTCACCACACATACAGAGACAAGGCTCCATTCGTATAGCCTCAAATAGACTCCTAGGGGCAAGTGATGTTAGTAGTAGCGAGTAGCAGTAGCAGCAGTGCCTATGAAGGCTACCTCAAATAGACTCTAGGGGCAAGTGATGTTAGTAGTAGCGAGCAGTAGCAGCAGTGCCTATGAAGGGTACCTAAAATAGACTCTTGGGGCAAGTGATGTTAGTAGTAGCGAGTAGCAGTAGCAGCAGTGCCTATGAAGGCTACCTCAAATAGACTCTAGGGGCAAGTGATGTTAGTAGTAGCGAGCAGTAGCAGCAGTGCCTATGAAGGCTACCAGCACTGTGGCACAGAGAGGGTGGGTGGCCAGCACCACTCTCGGCCGCCTTTGTCACCGCGGCACCAGGTACTCATTTTGAGGCCGAGCCGACCTAGGGAAGGCCCAGCACCGGTTCAGATAATCGCCACCACTGCTGTTGGTGGCTGTGAGCGGGAATCGAAATCGAGTCTCTTTACATTGCCCCATAGACTTTCTATGGGAACCGGTTTCACTGTGTGGATATTTATAGCAGCAATCAAATACTCGAAACTGTAGACACAGATACCCTACAAACGTACACATAGAGAGACACATAGATACGCATAGAGACACATGCTCATATAGACCCACTGAGACCCATACTCATGAAGACCCATAGAGATCCAGATACTTGTTTGGAACCACACACATCCATAGACACCTATAGGCTAAAACTAATCAATGTTTATGTTACTCAGAGAATAAAATCCACGCAGTGGCTAACACAGGGGGAGCGATAAACTCTGACTCCAAATATACAACAGCAGCAGGCATCGTCAGGGTCAGGATCGAACACACGAACTCCCGTAGACCAGGCGAGGTAGTTAACATCTCCTAGCCACCTTGGAATTAGGGTTGGGATCGATCCCACGACCTCCCGTAGAATAGGCGAGGTAGTTAACATATCCTAGCCACTGTGGCGTTGGAGTCGGGATCGAACCCACGACCTCCTGCGTACCAGGCGAGGTAGTTAACATCTCCCTTGCTACCGTGGCGTTAGGGTCGGGATCGAACCCACGACCTCCTGCGTACCAGGCGAGGGAGTTAACATCTCCCGAGCCACGGTGGGGTTAGGGGCTATATCCCTTGCCCCCCTCTCTCCCCTCTCTCTCTCGCACACTCCCCCCTCTCTCAGAGTCTCACCTCTCTCTCTTCACGATCTCCGCTCTCTCTCTCGCAGGGCTACTTTTGTACCCAGGCAGGGACCGCCTCTGGCGCCGCATCACGAATTTCCCAGTCCGCTCCGTGACGGCGTTCATCAGAAATTCACTCCCTGCAGCGGCATGCAGCTCATACAGCTGTAGCTGCAGAATCGTGACGCTGCTGCTGAAACATTCTCAGCTAGCAGTGACTCAGCCGCATTCTGACATTCAGCTGCAAGCAATCCGGTTTCAGCTGAGTCGTGTGTACACCTGTCTGTGCATCTGTCTGTGTACCTGTGTGTGTGCACACCTGTGTGTGTTTACTGCGTGTGTACCTGTGTGTGTACCTGTGTATCTGTGTGTACACATGTGTGTGCACCTGTATGTGTACCTGTGTATCTGTGTGTACACATGTGTGTGCACCTGTGTGTGTGTTTACCTGTGTGTGTGTACCTGTGTGTTTACCTGTGTGTGTACCTGTGTGTGTGTACCTGTGTGTGTGTTTACCTGTGTGTGTGTACCTGTGTGTGTATCTGTGTGCACACCTATGTGTGTGTGTTTACCTCTGTGTGTGTACCTGTGTGTGTATCTGTGTGTGTACCTGTGTGTGCACCTGTGTGTGTGTGTGTACCTGTGTGTGTACCTGTGTGTGTACACCTGTATGTGTTTACCTGTGTGTATCTGTGTATGTGAACATGTATGTGTGCCTGTGTGGGTGTAACTTTGTGTATGTACCTGTGTGTGTACCTGTGTGTGGACATGTGTGTGTACCTCTGTGTGCACAAGCGTCGTGGTGACGTCACCGCCACTTAGTGGCGAATGGCGGTTGTTGTGTACCTGTCTCTGTGTGTACCTCTGTGTATGTACCTCTGTGTGTGTACCTGTGTGTGTACCTCTGTGTGTG